GAGTGAAAATGCGAAAACAGCTCAATTTGGTACAACATCCAAAAGGGACGACTATTTCATTTGTGTCGTTTTGTCCCAAGGTTCGCCAAATCCTCCCAACTTGTCTCGCCAAGGCGGAAGGGAAGACAACAACACAACCAAATAGTGAGTGTGCGCAGCTGCTGTGTTGTTGGCGACCACAACGTCAGCGTCAGACGACGAGTACAGAGCCGAGCTGAACTGAGCGGGGATAGACAAGGAAGACGAAACAGGCCAGTCCAACAACACAGGCAAGGGACGGCGAAAGAAGAAGAAGAAGAAGAAGAAGAAGAAGAAGAAGAAGAAGAAGAAGAAAACAGGGGGATAAGGCAAGGACAGACGGTGCATCAAACGAACAACAGCAGGCAGCACCCACAACAACGAAAACAGGATCAGACAACATTGCACACAGCCCCCCGCATCACACAGCATGCCCACAACAACAGCAAGCAGCGCCATGTTGAGTGGAGATGTGGAGACAGTGCTGCGAGAGGCGCGGCTGTTGGCAAAGAAGTGCAGGGAGTTTCGAGCATGTACCAGCTTGGGCAGCCCAGCCGCACATCGGCTGCTGCAGATGCTCAGCCACACGCACACAAGCTCCACACCACGAGAGCACGTGGCATCCGCCCTTGCACGGATGGGAAGCCCGCTGAGTCACGAAGCTTCCACCGCCGCTACCACCGCCACATCCACCACGACTACCACTACCACAGCCAATGGCGTCAGCATGCCCAGCTTCGACAGCAGCCCGATCCCAAAGCCTGCTCACCCTGCGCAGACGGAATCGCCCAGGACCCCTTCCACTACGTCTGTGGCAAACCCGCCGCACCAACATTGCCAGCCACAGACCCCAAAGTCCGTGTCTGCCCATCAGCAGGAGGATGCTGATTCAGCCCCATCCCCCATGCACATTACCGGCGCTGAGACGCCACGACGGCCGGGCGCGCCTTCTGCGGAGCAGGAGGAAGCGCTGGAGCTGCTCGTGTGGATGGCAAGTCCACGGACCAAGCAAGACAGCGATGCCGAGGAGGGCAACGGGCAGGATGACGCTGGTCGTGCCGATACTACTGCTGATGGTGGTGATATGGGGTCCACACCAACAACGGATTCACCTGCAAGGCCAACAACCACGGCGACATCACCGATGGCGGCATCCCAGGACACGGCGGGCACAGCCACAGACACAACTGCAGACGCGGACACAATACACATTTCGTGGCCGTGCACAGATGTGGCCCTGGCGCAGCGCATTGGCGCATTCATCTCGCGGTTGTTTCACCTGCGATATGGCCCCTTGACATCGGCGTTTCCTCACATGGCGAGCACCGCCAATGCTGGGCGCAACACACTCAGTCAGGGCACATTCGGCGCTGACGCCACCGTTGCTGCTGGGCAGCAAACCAATGAACACACGCCCGTGTCGTTGGCACAGGGCAACCTGCAGTCGCTCTCCTCTGCTCTCTCCACGATCATTGACTGGTGCGCAGCCCTGTGCTGTCGTTGCCGTCTCCGCTGCCCTGACTTGCTGTGATTGCCCCCTGTGGAGTTGTTCATGCAGTACTCATCTGTGAGTCTTCGCCGAATCTTTCTCACACGCGACACCCCACTCACCTCTACCTTGCGTCTTTGCTGATTGCTGCTGTTGCTGGTGGTGTCGTTTGTGCGATGGCCCATGTGTGCAGGCTCACAACCCTTCCCATCACTGACCTCTCCGTCACCGCCATGTACATTGCTCTCAAGAAAGGTACGTGCCTGCGAGCACGCAGCGGTTGTGTGCGTGTGTGCGTGACTGCGATATGATGTACTCGGTTGTGGTGGTTCAAAGAACTTGAACGCCCTTCCTCAATCATTCTTCCACACACACACACACACACACACACGCACACACACACACACACACGCACACACACACACACACACACACACACACACACACACACACACACACACACACACACGGTGGAGCAGCGAAGGGCGAGGCGTCTGTGCGGCGGCACATTGTTGCCATTGTGCTGGACTGGGTGGCAGCGCAGGAACTAGGCAGCGTCTCTGGCGAAGGAGCAGAGCAAGCCGTTGAGGTGCGGGTGATGTTCCTGCTGTTCGCTTCGTCGTGTGATTTGCACGAAAAGCTGTACCTGTTGTATGTGCACGCGTCTTTGCATAATAACACCCACACGCACACACGCTGACACCCACAAACACATGTACACACACACGCACACATGTGCACACACGCTGTCACTCACAAACACACACGCACATACACACACGCACGCACACACACACACAAATGTCCCCCCCCCCCCGCCTATTTCGCATGGCTGCCGTCAGGCGTGTCTGGTGCTGGGCCTGACAGATGTGTGGTCTGCTATTCGCAAAGCAGCGGCACTTCGTGTGTCAGACGTGCTGGGCGTACTCACGTTTGAGCAGACGCGGCAGCTGTTTGAGGCGCTCGTGTCCATCTGCAGCCGGGAGGACGCATCGTGGCAGGAGACAGAGGGGGCTGTACAGGGCATCACGACCATCATTCGCAAGTTCACATGGGTGCACAAGACGGCGCTGCGTGACGATGGACGCGCACACGGTCACGGCACGTTCAGGTTTGCCGCCGCCGCCGACTCGCTCACAGACCGCTCGGACTATCAACTCACCGTACGTTCTCATGCGCGCTTTGCTGCGTCGGGTATCTCGCGCTTGCGTGATTGTGTGCGTGTGTTTGGGGGGGGTATGAAAGGATGACCGCGGCCGTCTACACTGACCCTTCATGCGTTGCGAGCTTGCTCAAGCAGACGCGCGCGCATCGCTTACACAAACACACATACACGTGACACACACACACATGACACACACATGACACACACACACACATGACACACACACACACACGTGTTCAGTTTGGGGAGATGGTTCTGCCTGCGGGGCTGCCGTCGTTTGTGGTTGACGGGTTCAACAGCATCGTCTACAAGCTGCTGGCGCATGAACAGCTGAGCATCCGTGAATACGCCACGAAGGCGTACGCGGCCTTTCTCAGCCGCAGCCAGTTCCACCAGGCGCTCAACACCCTCGAGAACATTGTGGCGCGGCTGCGGCGCGAGCGCGGACGACGAAGCTTCTCCAACGCCAACAGCAGCAGCAGCAATGGCAGCAGTGGTGCTCCTCGCTCGCCATCACCGTCGTCGTCGCCATCCCCATTAGGAACAGGCGTGGGCTCGGCTGCTGCGCGTGCACGTGCGCGTGTTCGGGCGCGCCTGTCCCACCCATCGCCACCACGACCACGACCACGCGGCACACCCTCATCCGATACGGTTGCCCCCGCCACATCGCTTCCAGCGCTGCACTCGTTGTCACCACCGCCATCGCCCGCATCGCCATCATCGACCATGCGCACGGGCTGGGGCGCGCCAATCACCCCGCTGCCCGCGCACGAGGCAGAGGGCCTGCTTGGCGTGTGCCACTTCATCATCAAGCATGTGCCGCCGGGGTTCCTGCTGCCAAAATGGCCGCTGTTCTTCTCGACGTTCAGCGCGTACCTTGCCCACCCGGCCTCCACCGTGCGCCAGGCAACTAGCACCGTCTTCAAGTTTGTCGTTGCAAAGGACAGCAGCAACCCCGTCATGCTAAAGCTTGGTGCGTCGTGTATGAGAGAGATAGTGTGTGTGTGAGTGTGTGCTTGAGTGTGTGTGTGTGATTGCTGCATGCCCATGCATCTATTTGTGACTGCTGCTGCTTGCTCACGTTTCTACTTGGCACGTGTCGCCACCTCAGTGCTTCAAGGACTGGCTGCCGACTGGCCTGTTGATGTCGACCGCCTTGCCTCAGCAGGTCGCAATCACTACTGCTGCTGCTGCTGCTGCTGGCAGTCATGGTGGTGCTGCTGTTCCTGTTGCTGTTGCTGTTGCTGATGCTTCTATGCACTCATCTCACCTGACGTTCTCGCATCATTTGTGCGTGTGTGTGCGTGTGTGTGCGTGTATGTGCGTGTGTGTGTGTGCGTGCGTGCGTGCGTGCATGTGTGTGTGTGTGTGTGTGTGTGTGTGTGTGTGCGTGTGTGTGTGCGTTTTGTGTGTGCAGCGGAGGCGACTGGTGCTGGTGACGAGGGCGACGGCCCGGGCCCGTCGTGGCAGTGGAAGGAGGGCCGGCTGCTCGCTTACGAGCTCATTCTTCGGTACTGCATCACAAACCACGTCCACTACCTCTTCCCAACCCTCCTCCTCGGAACACCATACAAGCCCCGACAGGGCATCGAACAGGTGTGTGTGTGTTGTGTGTGTGTGTGTGTGTGTGTGTGTGTGTGTGTGTGTGTGTGTGTGTGTGTGTGTTTGTGTTTGTGTGTTTGTTTGTGCGTGTGTGCGTGGGGGGGGGGGGTTGCTGTGAACCTTTGTCTTCGTCCTCGCGCGTGCCTGTTATGGAATCTCACCTTGACGCTGCCACATCACCCACAGACAACCGATCCCCACCAATCGCACATTCCAAAGCGAAAGTTCCGCAGGTGTGTGTGTGCGTGCATATGCATGTGCTTGTGTGTGCTTGCATGGAAGATCCCATGCGTATGTGTGAAACGTGCCCCCGTCGCGCTGTCCTCACCTTCCCCCTCTCCCTGCTTTGCGGTACTGCTTGACATCAGACTGCTGAGTATTCCCAGTACAACTTCTCTCCTCTCTCGCAGGGGCCACGTCAGGTGAGCGCGCGCGTGTGTGTGTATGTGCTTGTGTGTGTGTGTGTGTGTGTGTGTGTGTGTGTGTGTGTGTGTGTGTGTGTGTGTGTGTGTGTGTATGTGTGTGTGTACGTGGGGTCCGTGCATGCGTGTATTGATCCAATGCTGCGTGCTTCAGTTTCAATGCTCATCTTTTCACTCTGTGCTTCTGTGCCCTTGTCTTCATCGCTACACTGCCAGATCTTCCAGTCATCACGGTTAGGCTTTAAAGTGAACGCGCGCAATTCACACATGCACGCATGCACACACACAGACACGCACACACACACACACACACACACACACACACACACACACACACACACACACACACACACACACGCGCACACACACGCACGCACACACGCACGTGCTCACCGTCTTCGCCTCCCTTACACTCATGACTCTCCGCTTGCTCGCTGCAACCTCCCTGCCATCCCTTCTTCGCGTCAGATCCCCTACCGCACCTCTCGTTCAAGTCTGAGGGCGGAAATGCACACGACCACACGCCACTCGCCGCCCCCGGCCACGTCTCCTTCCACTCCCACATGCCCCACGCAGTGAGTCACGTGACACTCGTTGCTCATGTGCTCAGGTTTTGTCTGTGTGTGTTTGTGTGTGTTTGTGTGTGTTGTGTGTGTGTGTGTGTGTGTGTTTGTGTGTGTTGTGTGTGTGTGTGTGTTTGTGTGTGTGCGTTCTTGTTGGCCACGGTACTGCGTGGACAGCAGCGCCCAACCCTCACGCTACACTGCCCACACCACCGCCACTCTAATCACTGCAACAGCACGGCGCTCCCGGCCCCGTGACGCCGTTTGGCCCAACTGCTGTGGTGCGCGTGATTGCTGCTTGGCTGTCGCGCACGTGAACTCCCCCCCCCTCTTCCCACGTGTGCTTCTGCTGTGCACTTTACACTCTAGAACTCACGGCCTCTCACTCTCTCCCTTGCTCTCACACACGCACTCACATACACACTCACACACGCACAGGACCGGAATGCACGGAGCACGTCGCACAAACCACGGGTGCCACGCCACCGGGCTGTGACGGGCGCACCGCCCATGCGCTTGTCGGCACTTGACTCGCCAACAGCAACCCGCGAGGCAAAGGACGATGCAGCGAGCATGAAGACGCCGCCACGCCGCTCGCCGCACCAGGGCAGCGCAGACGACTACCACGTGCTGCTGTCGCCGACACACACGAGCACAACACCGCCAAGCGCGCGGTCTGTGAGCAGCAGCCCAAACACCACGCGCAAGGAGATGCGCAAGCAGACACAGCGCTTGGACGTGAGGCGAGAGGCAACGCACCTGTTGTCTCCGCACACACCAACACCTGCGAAGCGAGTGCACGCTGTGGCATCGTCCTCGCCTTCTGCTGCCAACACCTCGACTGGGTAGGTCTTGTTCGCATGGGCCACACAGGCGGCCATCCCTACGTGTTTACACAGACACGTGTTGACACAACTACACATCGACCTCTGCCTGCATGCATGCATGTTTGCGCGTGCCCTGTTGCGCATTCAACGTGAACGAAACGTGTGCTCACACTTCCTCCGCTCGCACCATCATTGGGTTTGCCTCTACGGCCTTTGCAGGAGCCTGCGAGATCTTGTTTCTCGCGGCGTCAGAACACCCGGACGCCGCATGACAGCACGGTGAGCACACATGTGCACATGCACACGCACACGCATGCGATCACAGTTATGTTCACATGCACACACGCACAGTGTGCACTGGCTTCCCACCTTGTATGTGTTCCTCAACTCATGCACTTGCTGCTCGAATGCACAGGAAAACGCTTCTCCGCGACCAAGCCGTCAACATGTCGTCTACCCCACTCAAGTGTGCATTCCTACTGCTCTGCTTGCTGTCCCTTGCGCGCGCGCCACCCGCACCTGTCTGTATGCGTGCGACTTTCACTGTCCTCCCGAATCCCGCCCTCACTCAGCACACAACACACGTACAACACACTCGCACACACACACACACACTCACACACACACACACACGCACGCACACACACACACACACACACACACACGCACGCACGCACACACACACACACACACACGCACGCACGCACGCACGCTCTCTTTCTCACACACACACACACATAACTCACAACTCTTCCTTCCCCCGTCCACCCCATTGTACAACTAGGTTCACGACGTACCAGCAGATCCGAGTGCACCGCCTGACGCGCACGCTCTCCACCACGCCAGGTGCCACGCTCGCACATACGGGCTCGCTGCTGTCGCACCTGGCAGACCTTGACCTTCTGGACACAGATGTGGCGCCGCCCGCTGCGGGCCCGCTGTGTGTTCGTCTCGCGCGCTCGCCGCTGTGGGGCATCTCCTCGCGTGAATGTCGCGGCGCCATGGTCGAATTGACGCAGCAGTTTCAAAGGGCAAGCAAGCCGGACATTCTCACGTTTGACGACGACGACGATGATAATGATGGTGATGGTGATGATGGTGATGATGAAGATCATGACGCGGAGGGATCACTGACACACCAGCATGCAACCACAGCACCTTCACGCGACCCCACAACGACGCCAACGGCAGCAACACCCACCGCCACCGGCCCGTCGACACATCCGCTGTACAAGTTGCAACACGGACACGCAGCCCGTGCGCCTGCCGCTTCAACTGTCCGCAACCCTCTCGCCCCGCAGACCGCGCCGGAGCCAAGCAGCCCCGTACCGCGACGGCTGAGCCGCTCAAAGTCGTTCAGCGTGGGGGCGACGCCAATGGCACTGCGGGTTGTTGGGCAGGTCGTTGACCAGACGCCGCACGAGGGCGAGATGCCGGCGTGGGCAGACACGTCGCGGTTTGAGCCGCTGTCGCTGGTGCTGCTTGGCATGACGCTGCAGGTGGTGGAGAGCTTTTCGTCACAGCAGTTTGAACTGCAACGCATGGCAAAGGCGGTGCTGCCACTGCTGACAGAGGTCATGCGGTGGTTTGACCCAACAACTCTCCATGACCTGTGGCTGGCATTTAACCCGACAGATGTGTCGTGGGCGGCACACGTTGTTGCGCTGTCGTTCAAGCAGAGCGTCGCACATGCGGCCTGGCTCAAGTCGTTTGTCTCCACCTCCGCCCTCTGTACGTGTTACGCGTACGCTGTTGATACTTTGCATGCCATACGTGCGATCGTGAACACAGGTGCATGGTTGTGTGTGTGTGTGTGTGTGTGTGTGCGCGCGCGCGCGTGTGTGTGTGTGTGTGTGTGTGTGTGTGTGTGTGTGTGTGTGTGTGTGTGTGCGTTGTCATGCTTGCAGGTCCACGTCACTCACGTACCTTGAAGCAACGCACTTGCAACACTTCACCCATCGCTCACGCGGACTACCACCACCACCATGATGCTTGATTTCGACTCAACAGCGGCATCGCCAACCCAGAATTGCCAGCGGGCGTGCGGGCAGATGATTTCGTTTGTTGAGCCGCACGTCACGTGGCTCAGCCCGCTGTTTGTCGCGCGCGCCTGCTCCGTCCCACGTGTGGACGCCACTATGATCGTGTGTTTGGACATCTGCCTGCTCACATGTACGTCGTTCCGGCCGCAGCTGCCCAACGTGCAAGCAGTTGAGCTTGCTGTTGTCTCGCGGCTTGTTCGGCTCGGCAAGCGCGCATACCCCAACAGCGGCCTGCTGGCAAAAGTTGCTCGCCAGCTGCAGTCCGTGTGTGCGAAGAACAAGTGTGATGCCGTTCCCAAAGACGACGCACAGCCGGACCACATTGACAGGGCTGCGTTCCTCGGGTGTGTATGTGTTGCGCGCGCGCGCGCGCGCGCGCGCGTGTGTGTGTGTGTGTGTGTGTGTGTGTGTGTTGCGCGTGTGACGTGTGTGTGTGTGCGCGTGTGTGTATGTGTGTGTATGTGTGTGTGTGTGTTGCGCGTGTGAACACGCATGTCAGCGTTGCTTGCCTTGCTTGTTCCGAGCCGCTTCCTTGTGTTTCTCACATGTACTGTCTTTGCGCCTTCACCTCCTTTCTTGTCGCCCCTCCTGTTTCCTTGCCCCACCCTCTTCCCTCGTGTTCCCTTCTTCAGCCATATGGCGTCAACGCGGCAGGTACCGGATGCTGTTGTCTTCAAGCTCGCACTCAAGAACACCGTCGAGCAGCTGCACGCCATCCTCGTACGTCCTCTTCCTGATGTGCCGTCATTCATGCACTACAACGCATGCTCACATTTGTCTTGGCGGTTCTTGTGTGTCCATCTGCAATTTACACGTCATCCGTTTCGCTCACACCTTCATATTTACACACAAACGCATTCGCTTCCCTCCCATACCTTCACGTCACTGCACTCCCATGCAACACCAATCACAAACGGCCATCACCCCTCCCCTGCTGCGGGCAGAGCGACTTTGCAGACGTGTGCTCGCTGGAGGCCGCCATGTCGCTGCTGCCGATTCTGGCGCGCACAATCCCGCTCGTGCAGGCCGACGAAGACATCGTCAAGGTGTGGCCGTGATGGCGATGGTGGTGGTGGTGGTGGGTCAATGTGATGATGCCTCTGGAGGCAATTGTTGCCTCGAGGGTCACGTGTGCTATTGGTCCTCTTCCTCACCTCTACTTGTTGTGACTGTGCGCGTGTGCTGTGGCATTGCTGTTTCACCAGAACATCTTGGAAGCCATTCACCGTTGCATTGATCGTCTTGGATATGCGCACTGGTTCGCTGTCGACGCCCGCGGAGAACTCAAGTGCGGTCCTCGTGCGCATGTGTGTGTGTGTGTGAATACTGGCATGGGTCATGCGACTGCATGTGCAAGCAGAACCAAGGCACTTGCGGGTGAGACTCACTCGGTGACTGGTATGTTCTGCCGTGCAGATACGAGCGTGCATCGCCGCAACACCACTCGTCCAGAGTCACCGTCATTGACGTGGACACCGTCATGTGAGTGCTGTGTGTGGATGGGGCAATGTCGTGATGCCAGTTGTGTTTGCAAATGCATGGCACCTTGTGTGCCATCGATCATACACACACTCGCACACACACACACACACACACACACACACTCGCTCACTCACTCACACACACACACACACACACACACTCGCTCACTCACTCACACACACACCACTCTCTCTCTCATCCACTCACTCACACACACACGCACTCACTCACACACACACACACACGTACAACACAGCCGGTGCAAGACGCCGTCAGCGCAGCAGCCGCCGGCCGATCTTCAGCGCGTGCTCTTCTCGCTCGTCGCACCAAGCGCTTTCCAGCACTTTCTCAACGTCATTCAATCAGAGGTGCGCGCCAAGCTGTCGCAGTGACAACTGCACATATGTGCTGCGCTTGTTGTTGCTTCCATCTGGGCTGCTGCTGTTGGCTGGTTCTACTGAGGCGAGACAGCACCCACATACACACCCCCTTGCTTGCATGCTGACTGCTTGTATGCTGGTGATGTTGGTGGTTATCTGTCGGTGTCGGTGGACGGTTGGCAGGAGTGCGACATTTCTCTGCTGCGCCGTGTGCTGGATGTAGTGCGTACGCTCTTCGTTGCCACCGCGTCCACCCTCCATCTCAAGTCCTATCTTCAGGTCCTCGCCGAGAAATTGCGCAAGGTGCGTGAATTCCTCGATTGGCATGTAGTTTGTGTGTGTCTGTGTGTCTGTGTGTGTGTGTGTGTGTGTGTGTGTCTGTCTGTGTGTCTGTGTCTGTGTCTGTGTCTGTGTCTGTGTCTGTGTATGTGTGGCTGTCTCGTTCGCTCATTCGTGCCCAAGCGCGTGACATCATTTGCCTAACAAGACATATCACCTCACGTCATGGTGCGCGCCATTCGCACATGTGCTTGCAGAACCAGCCGGCCGCCCCGCCTCCAGCACAGCAGCCGCCGCATCTCGATGCCGTCACGGGCGCGGCCTCCCTCGACCTCTCCATCCACAGCGACGGCGACTCTGGTGGGTACCACTGTGGGTTGTTTTGGTTTGGTTTGTTTTGGTTTGTTTTGGTTTGTTGCACGTTTGCTCGCTGTTCTTCGCTGTTCTCTTCCATGTCTCCCCCCCCCGCCCCCTTTCTAATCGCTATCCGCTCAATCTCTCCGTCCTTCACACTTTACCCCCCTCCCCTCCTCTCCCTCTCCCCCAAAGACGACGAGAAGAGCGTTGCGCAGAGTCTCGAGCACAGCGGTCGCGGATTTGCAAACGCCAGCGGCGCAACCGCCGACGACGACGAAAGCGATTGGGACTCCTGGGAGGAAGAGGACCAGGTAGCAACCCGTAACACGTGTGTGTGCGTGTGTGTGTGTGTGTGTGTGTGTGTGTGTGTGTGTGTGTGTGTGTGTGTGTGTGTGCCGGGGGACTGTGTTTTGTTCTGCTGCTTCTGACCCCCTCCCCCGTCGGGCCGCTCCAATACGCCTCCTGCCCAATCTATCGCTTGCTGTTGTTCTCCGGCGTTGCAGGGTGACGCTGCTGTGGTCCAGGTCGTGTGTGAATACATTTCGCACTTCAAGTCCATCTTCACCACCAGCCGAATGCAGGTGCGTGTCTGCGTGTGTACGTGTCTGCGCGTGTCTGCGTGTGTACGTGTGCACGTGTCTGTGCGTGTACGTGTGTGCGCGTGTACGTGTGCACGTGTGCACGTGTGCGAGTGACAGCTCGCCACGTCATCTTAGCTCGGTTGTATTTTTGTTTCACTGTCTCGAAGTAGCCCACTTGTTCTCATGGTTACCCTGACTCACACACGCACACGCACACATATGCGCCCACGGCCAGGCGCGTCTCGAGTGGTATCGCCAACACTTGAATGCGGAGGCCCAGGACTTTGAGGCCGTGTTTCGCTCGCTGTCGCTGGAGGACCAAATCACCATCAGCAGGGCTGTGTCGGACGCAGCGTCCACCGCTGATGACGTGGAGATTCACGCGTCGGCCACAGCCAACAGCGACACTCAGCTGCAGCACTCCAAATCAACACAGCGTCTCGCCGCGTCTCCCAACCCGCGCAACGCCCGCGTGAGCGTTGTTTGACACGCTGGCTTGTGTCTCTCCTTCTTGTTTGCGCTCTTTAGATTTTGATTCATCTCGATGATGCACACGTGTTGGCCTGTGTACGCTGTTTTGTGTGTGTATGTGTGTGTGTGTGTGTGTCAATGTGGAGGCATATGTGCGGGTGTGTGTGTGTGTATGTGTGCGAGTCTTTCTTATTTTGGTGACTCTCAACCTCTGTATGAACACCATGTGCATACTCTTCCATGTTCCTGCTGTGGTTGCAAATGCTCGAAAGCGTTGCATTCGCATGCGTGTGTGTGTGTCGCATCCACAACTGAACATGGGCCCGCTCTCTTAGTTCTCAGGGTAGCTTCAGCATCCGCTCGCCTTCATGCATGCCCTTGGTTCCCCCTTGTGCTTCTCTCACACTAAAAGGCCCGATCTTCTCTCCACAACAACAAAACACACACATGCACACACAACCCACCACACAAACCCCTGAAACAAAGCACACACGCGCGCGCAACACACAACATGCACACAACAATCACACACACACAACACACACGTAAACGTGCACACGACTTCGGTTCTGTCACAAGGTCCCATGCAAACTCTTGTTTACTGCACAAAACAACCACGCACCATGGCATCAGGATGCAAAGTTGAAGCTGAACGGCTTCACAACGCTGGGACCCTTTGGCTTTTTCCTCGCAAGCCCATCATGCTCCTCATCACCATCATCAGCACCACCACCACCACCATCATCATCATCATCACTATCACGACGAGTGCCGCCAATGGTGTCGTTGCCATCAGCAACACGCCGTCGACTGCCGTGTGCGCGCTTGTGCGTTCGCTTGCGGGTGTCCAGTTCTCTTTGCACAACAGCCATCATCTCGGGGTGGTGCTGCCTGAGACCGTGCACCAGCTCCTCGTACAGGTTCACATCTGAAGCGAAGGGCGCCGGGCGTGAGGGACAGACGTAGGCAACGATGGTGTTGATGACGCACGGCCAACTCGCATTGAGGCAGACACGCTCACACACACACACACACACACACACACACACACACACACACACACACACACACACACACACACACACACACACACACACACACAAAGCGCACGCACACACGCACACAGCGCACGCACACACACAAAGCGCGCACCTTGGGCGACGCCGGAGACTTGGTCCGGTTTCGTTCCTATGAATCGAAGGACAGCAAATAGGTTGGGGGCGCCCGCGTAGTTCTGCGTGACTGCTATGGACGGTTTTGTGTTGAGCACCACGTGCCACCAGCCGTGCGGCACAAACACAACGTCACCGGGCCGCTGCGTGCCCTCCACATACGGGATGCCGCTCTGCTGCAATGCCTGCAGGCAATGGTGCCGATTGGAGCGAATTGGGGATGCTGATATGAGTGGCGTTGGGGGTGTGACGATGATGACATCGTGATGACGGGTGGATGATGTGTGGGATGGATGAATCAACACCCACAGTGGCGCAACCCCACGCTTCGACACCGGAAGGAACAAGCCATGGCCCATATGCAGCGTGATGTCGTCACATCACGCAGTCTCAAACATCAGTGAGTGCACACACAGCACACACAGCACACACAGCACACACAGCACACACAGCACACACAGCACACACAGAGCACACACAGAGCACACACAGCACGTGGGCTGCACCTCGTAATATGAAATGAACCACTCGGTGACGGAGATGGGCGTGGCAACAGCAGAGCCGTCGGGACTACGACAAACAGGGGAGTTGGCAATTGGAGGAAGGAGTGAGTTGAGCGTGAACTGATAAACTCGCGGTACGGCAGGGAAACCAGCGTGCATGCCCGCACATGCATGAACGCACGCACACGCACACATATATGAACACGCACATGCACGCACACACACATATGAACACGCACACACACACACACACACATGAACGCACACTCACACACATGAACGCACACTCACACACATGAACACACACACACACACATGAACACATCCACAACCTTGGGTAGACACCCGGGGGCGGGTAGTTTGGTGGCGTCATGATCCATCGCTTCTCACCCTCAACGAGAGCGTTCCATGCAGCGGTGGAGTTTGGGTCCTTGTGCCATGTGCTTCCGCTTTTCGCGGGCCCAACAATGAGCCAGCGGTAGTTTGGCCTGTTTGCTCCCTCGATGCTGGAGAACAAGTCCGTGCTGAAGTGCTCAGGCACCCTGCAACGGAACGGCAAGGCGTAAGTGCATGTCAGTGTGAGATAGAGTGTTCGTGTGTGTGTGTGTGTATGTGTGTGTGCTGTTGCATGTGTCAGTGTGTGTGTGTGTGTGTAAAAGGATGTGATATTGTGCATGTGTGTGCGCGCTATTGCGTGTGAAGGCATTAGTTCACCTCATCTACGACTACAGGCACTTGAAGACACACACACACACACACACACACACAGTTTCACTTTCACATTCACTCGCATGCACAGAAAGATACACGCACGAGTATTGTTGGCCGAGCTGAGGGCACTTGTCTGCAAAGTGCTTGTCGAAGATGTAGAGTGGACGTTGGTCACACTGGTGTGGCGAGTATGTGTCAAAGGCGTCCAACGTCACATTGAAGGTCCCGGCCTTGAAGAGCGTGTTCTTGGGGCACACGCTCTTGATGCCACCGTCAGGCCATAGCTTAAACGCGGGCCAGGACTTGGCCAGGCCTTTGAGGATGACGGGCTTCTGCTTGCTCTCATACTGCGCTTGGAACTCTGCCGGGGACAGCTCGATCCGTGGCATGGTCTCTTCCTCGAGCCACGAAGGGTCGATGCACGCCGCGGCATAGAACCAGCTGCTGTACAAGTAATCCGAATACACAGCCAAATCAGTAGCATGGCCCTCCTGCTCCTGCTCCTCATCTTGCTCCTGGCCTTGCTGGTGATGCTCTGGCTGTGCTGATTGCTGTGGTGGTTGGCTCCCACTGCTGTCAGTGCTGGTGCTGTCGTGGCACGCGCCCTGGCTCACCTCGTCGCAGCCACCACGCGCACAAGCGCGCATGTACGATGTCTTCCAGTTGGTGGCGTATGAGAAGGGCCGCGCCTGGAACAGCTGCTCGCAGTGTGCTTGCCACAGCTCATCGTGGGAGGCAAACGCGCGCAGGTAGCGGCTGACGCACGCCAGTTTGCAGAGGTCGCGTGGGTGCAGGTACTCGAGCACGAGCAGCAGCTCCTCGTCCCCGAAGATGGCAAAGTCGCCCAGCGACTCATTTCGGTCTTGGACATGGTTGCGGGCCGACAAAAAGGCGGCGCCGAGCGGCTTGATCCCGTGGGGCGGTGACGACTCCACGATACCGCACGGCTCAGGCTGCCTCGCCAGCCCGCGTTTGTGCCACCCACGCCGTCCACCACCACCACCACCACCACCGCCAGCACTCTGCATCATCGTCTTGCGTCGGTGACCTCGTGTGTGCGTCGTGTGTGCGTTGTGAGTGTTGTGTTGTTTGCGTGTCCGCTTTCCTCAAAAACACACACACACGTGCACAACACACAAACGAAGCGAACAAGGCGAAGATGTCGAAGCAGCTGGCGGTGCGGTCGTTGGACCTGCTTGGCAGGGTGCAGACACAGACGGCGACGAAGAAGGATGTGGTCAACACGCGCCTGGGCACGCTGCAGTTGAGAAAGACAAAGAAGAAGAAGCAGCGGAGGAAAGAGCTCAAGCGCCGTGTGGATCACCAACAAGTGGCATACGAAGAAACACAAGCCAGACTCGGTGTGTGCGTGTGTGTGTTGGTGTGTGTGCATGTGTGTTTATGTGTGTGCGTGAGTGTGTGTGTGTGTGTGTGTGTGTGTGTGTGTGTGTGTGTGTGTGTGTGTGTGTGTGTGTGTGTGTGTGTGTGTGTGTGTGTGTGTGTGTGTGTGTGTGGGTGGGTGTTTATGTGTGTGGGTGTGTGTGTGTGTGTGTGTGTGTCTGTCTGTCTGTCTGTCTGTCTCTCCCCCTCTGTCTCTCTGCACTCACTTGCGTTGCTTCGCCTTGCTTCCCTCCCCCGCGCATTCACCCTCTCCCGGTTTCACCAGCGCAACTCAAGGACGAACTCGCAGGCAAGAAGAAGAGCAACAACAAGGCTACAACAAAGGGCGCCAGGCAGAAGAAGGCACGTGGCAAGGGATCATCGCAGGGAGGGGCGGCGGCGAGGAACATCGAGTCTGTCAAGAAGGTACACACACACACACACCTTGCACAGCCACCTGGCTACATGTAATGGGTCAATGCCCTCACACGTACACTCACGCGCACCCCCTTGAACACACACACACATACTCACACACACTCACTCACTCACTTACTCACTCACTCACTCACTCACACACACACACACACACACACACTCACACTCACATCCTCATACGCACGTGGCTGCAAGGCTTTGCGCGCACTCGAGGCGCGGGCGTCGCGTGGTGCCCCGAAGAAGGCTGAGCCAGGCATCAACTGGGACGACTATTCTGTGTTCAAGGGTCTGGATATGAGCCAGGGCATCCTGCCATACCTCAAACCTTAGCTCTTGTATGCTTATGCGCTCGTGTGTGCGAGTTATGATGTTGCGTCGCTTGTGCTCATGTCTTCGAATGAGAGCTGTTCTCTCCGGTGCCATCAAGCGCATCGTTCTCCGCAGTGTCTGTCTGTCTGTCTGTCTGTCTGTCCGTGCCTTGTTGCTACTCCATTTGCTCTGTGTGTGTGTGTGTGTGTGTGTGTGTACTTCCGTCCCCAAATGCCTTCCCGTTTCACCCCCTCTCCTACCCACTACATCAAGCCCGTGCGGATCACGGTGTTTTATTATTCTATGCACATGCAAACACGCGGAGAGGGAGGAGCTAACGTGGACAGCACCGGCAACACGGCGGCGCCAACAGTCACGGCACAAGCTAACACGAGGGGCAGACGAAGAGAGAACAGCGTGGACTTGGTAATAGGAGAGAACAGGCAGGGGGTGGTGTCATGTGATATCGGACATCGCAGCGAAGAGGGAACGACACAAGGAAAGGAGGGTGAACACAAGCAGGAGAGAAGGCAATCACGCTTGCACGTCTGTCTGTGCACCAGCGCGGAAGAGAGGGGGCGGGGGTGTTGGGGTCAAAGGATCAATGTACACAATCAAGACACAAGAGCAGGGGGAAGGAGAACAAGAAGGCGCAATGTGGGACAACGGACGCCACACATCACCACTCCGTGGCCATCGTATCATCATCATCCTCCGCATTGCTGTGTGTGTGTGTGTGTGTGTGTGTGTGTGTGTGTGTGTGTGTGTGTGTGTGTGTGTGTGTGTGTGTGTGTGCGTGCGTGTGTGTGTGGGTGTGTGTGTGCGTGCGTGGGTGTGTGGGTGTGGGTGTGGGTGTGGGTGTGGGCGAAGGTGTCAGTGAAAGGAAGCAACTCGTCATGGCCACAAACAGACGTGTGTGCACGTGTATGCATGACAACACGGTCGCAAGTGTCGGCTCACGTGGATCCCTGGAACATCAAGTCCTCGGGAAGATCGTCCTTGTTCTCCAGCTCATGCAGAGGCGCAGAGATGCTGAGGATATGGTCATCGCCGTGGTGGTGGTCAGGGGGGGGCAGAAGACATGTTTCGTTGTTTGGTTGGGCCGTAGTTGTGCAGTTATTTCCTTCCAGGTTGGCACATCGACAAGCACACACAAGCACACACACACACTCACACACTCGCTCACTCACTCACTCACTCACTCACTCACTCGCTCACTCGCTCACTCACTCACATCTGGATACGCAAGAACACGAGTACAAAGAAATACAAACACAAAAAGTACATACGCAGACAAGCACACCCACGAACATACAAACACACAACACACGCATATGTACACACACCTGAGGCTGATTGCGGTGAAGAGGATCATGCGTTTGAGCTTCTTGTTGAAGAAGAGGTATGCAAACGACCAAGTGGTGCCCTCCTCCGTAAAAGGGTCGTCCTGGGAGTCGCCGCAGTAGAGAAACACGTCGCAGTCCGCCAGGCTGATGAGCGAGTCCAGTGTCGACCACAGCTCCCCAGACCGGCTCGTGTATGCACGCCCCAATACAGGCGACAGCACAGCTGCAGCGGCAAACAGCACAAAGAGTGTGAGTGTGTGTGTGTGTGAGGATGTGTGCGTGTGAGGATGTGTGCGTGTGAGGATGTGTGCGTGTGAGGATGTGTGTGTGTGTGTGTGTGTGAGGATGTGTAGTGTGGACGTGCATGTGATCACAACATCCAAGCAATCCGCCATGCATCAAGGCGTGTTTGTGTTGACACAGAGAGAGCACACGCGCTGCGCACGCACCGGAGATGTGTTGTCTCGCCACGTCCGCAGATGGTACCAACGCAAACTCTGCTCCCTTTGCATGGCTGCATTGTTTGATAATGGCATGCGCAGGTAAGCACACGCTCAACGCAAGTAACCGAACTCGCAGGCTAGCCAGCCGCCAGTCTGATCAGCGACCAATTACAACAGCAGCAACAACACGACACGTACACACACATAAACAAACACACAAATAAGTAGACACACAAACACACACACTATCACACACACACCCCGTGCACACTGACCTGAAGTCGTAGTCTGGGCTGTATGCAGCGTTGAGGGTGGATTTCAAGAAGTAGAGCGTTTTCTTGCTGCAGTATGCTTGCTCTTCCTCATCTTGTGATCGCGTGGATGAAGCGGGCGCAGCAACCATGCCCACTGCTGCAGACACAACGCCAGGTGGCGCGAGCATCACCAGCTCCTCCATGTCACCTTCCCCCGCCAACTGCTTGTACAGCTTCTTGTCCTCCCCAGCCTTCTTGCTGCAGTGGATGTGTGCGTGCGATGAGCAGTGTATGTGTGTGTGTTTCTGTGTGCAGTGTATTGTGTGTGTTTCTTCGCACAAGAGCATGACGCAAGTGAAGGTGCATCCACATGCACATCAACCTACATGCACATCAACCTACATGCACATCAACCCACATCAACATCAACCCACATCCACATTAACCCACATCCACACCCTTTCACCCCATCCACACACACACACACAGAGGCGAACGCACCAGCTAAAGGCCTGTATTGAGCAGATGAGACGACAGTCGCTGCGCAACCCCGTCCACTCACTGCTCAGCGTCGCCAGCTCCGGTATCTCTAGCAGCTTCATCTTTGCCTGTCTCTCTCACTCTGTCTGGTTGTCCGCTGTTTCTTGTTTCCTGCTTCGCGCTGGTGTGAGGAGATGGGATCGACAGCCCAGAACAAACAGTCAGGACGCTTGCTGCTGCTGTTGTCTGTCCACCTGCACAAGGCTATCTGCGTCCTTGCCCGGCTTGCTTCCTCACTCGATCTGGTGTGTATGGCGCGCGCGCGGGCGAGAGAGAGAGAGAGAGAGAGGTGGTGGTGCAATGCAACAGCGATGCTCGGTCGGTTGTTGTTGATGTGTTGTTGTGATTGCTGGCTGCTTTCTCTCTTTTGGCGGTTCGCGTTTTGTCGGTTCTTGTCCTTCGTCGTTGTTTGTTGTTGTTTGCCTGAGTGCAGATTGTTGGCGAAAGATGAGAAAATTTGTTGATATCTTCTCTGAATCGTCGCGTGAGTTGTGTGCTGAGGGTGGTTTGCCCACCTAGTTTTTCACCGCCAGCACTGACCAAACAAACACTTTGTTGTCGTTTTTCCCTCGTCCAGGTTGGTGTGTGGAGATGCGAGTGCGAGTGGAGAAGGAACCACTGCTTTGTCTGGGTGCTGGGAGATGTGGGAGGGGGTGGCTGTGCTAGCGACGACGCGAGCAGGGTATGGCACAAAGAGAGAGAGAGATAGAGAGAGAGAGAGAGAAAAGGGGAAGGGAGAACTCTCTCCCATGTGCACACTAAGCACGTGTGTGTGTGTGTGTGTATGTGTGTGGATGTGTGTGTGGATGTGTTTGTGTTTCTATGTGTGTGGCTGGTGCTTGGCCTACTTTTTGATTCTTCCGGCCCGAGTGTGGGCCACATCGCACACCTGCACATGAACTGCTGTGTGTCGAAACACTGTTGTGCAGTCAGCTGCATTACATGATTCACTGCCTGACTTGAATCGATCGATCTCACCCGCATCGCCTGGTTTGTTTGGTTTTCCTGCTTCTCCTTCCTCCTCTTGTTTCTTCTCCTGCTGCATCGCCTTTCACCCATCTTCCTGCGCCGTGTCCCTTCTCTCTCTCTCTCTCTCTCTCTCTCTCTCTCTCGCATCTCCAGACCAACCGCCCGCTGTATTTCCCTTCGCCCCTTCATTCACACTTCATCTTTCGCCGCATTCCTTCACCATGTCCTTCCGCGTTGTTCGCCAGTCCAAGTTCCGCCACGTCTTCGGCAAGAGCGCCAAGCGTGAGGAGGTGAGTCGCCACCACCAGCCTTCACATGCTCCCACCAGCACTGCCCAATCCCATGATTTGCCTACACCAAGATGTCCCGTGTCGTTCAACGCTCACTGTTCCCACCACTTTGCCGCCCCCACCCACTGACTCACCTTCCTCAATCAACACACACGCACAGAGCTACGATGGCATCCGCATCACCAGGAACGCCTGGGACTCCCCCTTCTGCTCCGTCAACAGCAAGTTCCTTGCCATCGTGCTCGAGTCTGGTGGTGGTGGCGCCTTCACCGTCCTCAACCTGGAGAACGTGAGTGTTTTGCTGCCGCGAGATTGCGCAGGCAATGGCGCCTTTGCTGTCTCCACTTGTCACCTCGCACGGCCTTTGTTGGTCCTTGAACATCTATGACATCTCCTTCCTTCCTTCCTTCCTCACAAACCCACACACTGCAATGTAACGCTGCTGCTGCTGCTGCTGCTGCTGCTGCGTTTGCAGACGGGTCGCATTGGCCTGAACGCTCCCCGCGTTACCGGCCACACCTCAGCTGTCCTTGACATCAAGTTCTGCCCCTTCAACGAGTACATCATCGCATCCGCCTCTGAGGATGCCACCGTCAAGGTGTGGGAGCTTCCCGAGGGCGGCCTCAAGCAGGACCTCGACGAGCCCGTGGTCGACCTGCGCGGCCACCAGCGCCGCGTCGGCATGGTCGAGTGGCACCCCACGGCAGAGAACATCCTCTTCTCCGCTGGCTTCGACTACATGGTGCGTGTCTGTGTCTGTGTGAGAGGGGGGTCACGTCGGTGTGGTGGGGGAGTATACCTGAGTGGGTGTCTGCATGTGGTGGGTGTCTGCCACTTGTGCCTGTCACTTTTCTGCGCGTTGCTCACAATCACTTGCCATGGTGTTTTATTTTTTCTGCTGTTCGCCTTGCTTTGTGTAGATCTACGGCTGGAACATTGCCACCGGCGAGCGTGTGTGCGAGATTGACTGCCACACAGACACCATCTACTCCATGTCCTTCAACTGGGACGGCTCCCTCCTCGCCACCACCAGCAAGGACAAGACCCTGCGCGTCATCGACCCCCGTGCAAACAAGGTCGTCCAGCAGGGCAAGGTACGCAGTATTTCACCGTCCGTGAGGGGAGCAACCGCTGATCACGGTGCCACGCTGATGACGACAATTGCAAGGACGAATGCGTGCATTGTGTGTGCAACCCTCGCCACGGCCAACCCAGTGACCATGCCCATGACGCGCTTGCTCTTTGCCAATGCTTGACAGGGCCACCAAGGCGCCAAGGCCTCCCGCGTGGTGTGGTGCGGCACCCTCAACCACCTCTTCACCACGGGCTTCAGCCGCATGAACGAGCGCCAGTATGGCGTCTGGAACCCGGTACGCAAATGCACACAAACACTCGCGCGCACGCACACGCGCGCATATGTACACAATTGTTTCCCGACCACTTGCACTGCAGCGTTCAAAAAGATGTGCCCTTCTCCTCACCATTCATGGTGGTTGTCTGTGTCTACGTGGCGCTTCTGCTTTCTGCAACGCGTTTTGTGTTTGTGCATGTGCAGGAGGACCTGAGCGAGCCGCTCAAGATGGAGATGATTGACATCTCCTCTGGCGTGCTGTTCCCCAACTACGACGAGGACACCAAGATTGTCTACCTTGCCGGCAAGGGCGACGGCAACATCCGCTACTACGAGCTCACGGCGGAGCGCCCCTACTGCCACTACATCAACGACTACAGGACCAGCACCCCGCAGCGCGGCGTGTGCCTCATGCCCAAGCGCGCCCTGGACGTGGGCCAGTGCGAGGTGACGCGCATCTACAAGCTCACCCCCAAGGGCGCTGTCGAGGTCATCTCCTTCACCGTGCCGCGCAAGTCCACGCTGTTCCAGGAGGACATCTTCCCGCCCACGAAGAAGGACGAGGCCGTGCTCTCTGCGGAGGAGTGGCTCGCTGGCGAGAACAGGGAGCCAAACCGCATCTCCCTCAAGGACGGATACGTGCCCCCACCACAGGCAAAGCTCGAGGTTAGCCCCCTGTGATTCGAAACAGGAGAGCTTGCCTTGTGTATGGGTGTGGGTGGGTGGATGGGTGGTTTGAAGTGATGCTGTGTGTCTGTGATTGACTGGGGGTTGATTGCCTGAACCACACACACACATACTCACACACACACACACACACGCACACTATTCCACTTTTGCCACCAGGTGAAGGCTGCTGCGAAGAAGGCTGCCGAGGCCGCAAACGAGGAGGACGCGCCTCCCAAGGGCGAGAAGGAGCTGCTCAAGGCGTGGCACGCGCAGCGCGACGAGATCAAGCAGCTGCAGGCCCAGCTCGCCTCGGCAAACATCAAGATCCGCACCCTCGAGACAAAGCTCGGCTAAGCACCAGCACCCGTGCGCAGCCTCATGTGCTGTGCCTCCCGCGCCGGTGATGTTGCTGTTGGTGACGAGCAGGGCATGACAATTAGCAGCAGG